ATATATACATTGTACAGATTATACAGATTCGTACAGGTTTTTAGTACTCGTTTTAAGTACTCTATTTTTATCCCTATTTATCTCATTTCAAAGAACATTCCTTTGTTGTCTGTTACTGCCTGTTTATACTGCTTGTTCTGCATTCTTTGCACTCTCTGTTGCTTGTAAATACTGCTTATCTTTGTTATATTACACAGCCTTATGCTGGTTTACTGTTTGCACATTGAGAGCCGATGTACCTGAGTCAAATTCCTCTTGTGTCCAACACATCTGGCCAATAAAGCTGATTCTGATTCTGATTCTGATTAACAAATATCCAGTGCCTCAGTATCATGTAAACAACTTAGCAGTTAGCAGGAGAGCTCTGATACAGCATATCCAAAACCTGAAAGTTAACTGCAAAACAGCATTACAGTTCCAAGCTAACCTACATAGGAGGGAATCATTTTTCTAGAAATTTAAAAGGAAAAAATATTGAATATAAAAATCTTTTTAAAAATGTGTAGGTTAGGGCAAACTTTGGGCATAGGAATGATTTGTGGGAATCAATTTGTCTGATGTGTCTGGAGCTAAATAGTCCCTACCTGTGTCCCACCTCCTGTTTTTGGACTGATTTTCAGAGGCATTAGTCAAAGATAGGAAATGTTATTTGTACTTTAAACTTGCTGTTGCCCTGTTTCTAACTGTGTGTGCCTGTGTGCATATGTGTGTAACCTTAAGAAGGGCAAGAAGAGTAACTGGGGAGCTGGCTCTGACTGCGGCACATCGATCGTGGACCCCTGCATTCTCCTGCTCAACAGTCACTTTTCGTACACACAAAAGCACACACACCCTCTCGCCTCATTGACCAAATAGACTTACATATGACTGACAGGGCCAATTTCTCTCCCTTTCCTCCCCTTGCTAATTTATCGCCATTGATCTACACTGGGCTGAATTTATATACACTCATCATGCCCTCTTGCTCTCTGGTCCTCTGTCTCTTTTCACATACACACACATACACACCAGGTGTTTTTTCTGGTTTACAAAGCAGTCCACCGGCACATGCTCCTGCTGTCTCAGCGCAAGTCATGAGAAGAAAGTACAAGAACATACTTAAGAAGTAATGAAGATTTTGTTTTTGTGGGTGTATTGTATGACCTGGTGTCATTTATAGAACCTTATTGTTTCAGTATAAAATGACATGTATGCATATTAACATGGAGTACAAAGCAACTTGTGTGTGCCTTGACAGATCACAGTAATAATGATGGTATAACACTGGGGTGTTGTCAGAGGTCAGGGTCAAATGGTAAGGCTCCAATAGCGTGCTCAAGGACACTTCAGTAGTTATCTGGACATTAAATTCCTGTCCTGAGTCCTCTGATTAAATGATGGTGCCTCAGCTCGCTTGTACTGCCCTTCTTTGGTATAATTGTGTTTACTAATAGTGTCTTTATGTGTCTTTTTCTATGTTCTCTCTGTTCAGGTGCATCCACTTGCTCAGCAGATAGTCAGATGGTTGGTGAACGCAGCACGGAGCAGATTCTCCAGACCCTGGGTGACCTGTCCAGGGGCTTTCAGGACATTGCTGACCGCTGCCTACTGATGCTACACCTGGAGGTCAGGTATGCAGGAGAACCTCAGTAGGACTGCAGAGAAATAGGAGGAACATAAACATTCACAGGTGTTTTATGTTGTTATGGTACATACATGCTCAGGGGGTAGAGCTCATTGTCCCCTAACCATAGGGTTGGTGGTTTGATCCTAGTCTACTTGTCAAAGTGTCCTTGGACGAGGCATTTGGGCAAGTTGCTCCCGATGGCGACAGCCAGCAGGATGTGTGTGTGTGAATGGAGTGAATGAGCAATACTGTAAAGAAAAGTGCTACAGTTCTCATGCAGCAGGTTTCTGAATGCTCCAAAATGTAACATTATGAGTACAGATCATCAGTTTTTATATGGGAACACTGTATTTGTGGACCCTAACATATACATTTTTTAAGGAGTTTTTTTAAAAATAATCACATTTTTTAAACTATAGATATACAATACAGTACAGTATGCAAGTTATATACTGTACTATGTATATAGTTATCCGGTACTATGTACTGTATTTAGTATTTAGTTTAAAGCAAGTTTGGTTGAAATGACCTGTATGTTGGATGGGTTTGTATACTGCACTGATGATGATGATCTCTTTTTTGAAATATATACAGTACGCACAGTAAAAAGGTGCTGGTAGATAATATATTATAGCCACGTAATAAGAAAATTATATTGTGTCCAACTGAACCTCTAAAATCAGCAAACACTAGCAACATGTGAGCCATTGGTTTCTATGTAAGCCTGTACACTGGCACCATCTTAATGCACAACATCATGTGGTGGTGAGCCTCATATGATTAAAATATTCCACTATCTTATTTCTCGCATCAATGCTTGTCAGCTCAATAGCAAAGCAGCATATTTAATCATATTTGTTCCCCAGCTTGGCACATCCCAACTAATGCATTCTTCCATCTGTATAACACATCTGTCATGTGCCATCGACCTCAGCTGACATATGTCAAATTGTGTGTGTTAGTCTTCTTCCCATAAACTCTGAACTGATTTTACTCATTTGAGTCACTCTACAACTGAATGAAAGACAGATTGTCACAGTATGACTTTAAATCATTTGCCACCCAGAAACATGATCATGCCACACAAGCTTGTCATTAAATCATATGGGCCCCAATTATCTGTGGCATCACACTTATATCCTAAATGCACAAGTTATGAAATTTATATCATGTCTTGAATATGTGTTTTAGGTTTCAATATCCAAGTTAATTTACCAGACCATATACTTTCTCCACCTTCAGCCACTAATAGTCCTCCGTCATCCCTCTCCTCCTTTTTCTATCCATCCATTTACCACTATTTCCCCATAGACTATTGTGTAGCTTATGCAATGTTGTTTATGATTTCAGTAGAAAACCCTCCCTGAGGCTGATGTCTAGCTATATACTACACTCCATTGACTCTCCCCATCTAGTGAATTTCCCCTGATAGTGGTACCAACTAAATGAAGCCATGAGGAAGCAAGCAGAAAGGGAAGGGAAGAAGAGATAGGAGAGAGATGAGTGCGGAGGTTAAAGTGGTAGTGGCGGTGGAGGTTAAAGAAGGCAGATACATGAGCTAAGTGAGAGAAATGGTTGAAAAGAGAGTGAAGGGGATGGCGGCACTGAAAGTGTGATATAGTTGTTGGCTTTTTTTTAGGAGGGAGAGACATTCACCCATATTGTACAGTTACATTTTATACCTTTCTGCTCAGGGCACTGTGGAGTTATGAAAATATTGCTTCTTTAATCTGGACTATGATATAGATCAAATGGACAGAGAGAAAAAGTACATTGTTAAAGGGTAGTCATTACAGTCCCAAAAGTTATATTAGAGATATATGTGGTCATAAAATATTAAAATATTATTATCAAACTAGAGACTTGGGTTGTGTTGCTTCTCAAGTTTATGGTTGTTTTCATTTGTAGTGTAAGAGTGAAATGTTACATAACAGTGATTGAAATGAAATGAATAAAAATGTTTTGACATTTTCTTATATTAGATCTCTTATAAAGTTAGATCAGCCTTGTACACGGCAGTTGAACCAATTTACAAATTAAAATGTGCAATTTTCCCAGCCAAGAGAAGTGAATAGAAAAATCCCTGTGTACTGCTTACTGGCATAGTGTGCAATTTTGTGTTTGCACCACATATTCATTCAACTTTCTCAGGAAAAATTGCAATAAAATAAATTAGGACACATCTCAGATCCAGTGTTTTAGATGTAGACGCATAAAGATGAGCATCTCTGGCTTGCTATGTAATGAAGTGGTTTTGAAGGCACAGTTCACAGTTGCTTTGAACATGAAATCCTCAGCCTGTGGTATTTCAAGTCCTTAAGCTGAAGGCTATTTATTATTACTATTTATAGGTGGTAGGCTATACATTAACTAGATGTTAGAGTTTATACAATACCTTCAAGTGTTGTACAACATTCTGTGCTTAGCACTGTGCTCTACAGGTTACCCTTAACTCATCAGATTTCTTGGCTGAATATTTTCAAGGCCTAGTAGTAGTAAGTGGATATATTATAATTACTCTAAATATAATAATTTCTGTCTTAACTATTAAAAGCATATGTATTCATACTAGCAGGGTCTGAGAAGTGACAACACTCAGCATACCTCCTAACTATGTTATACTCTAAGGACAGAGAATAATGACAGAATATGTGAAGCTCATTACAGTATTCGCATTTTGAAACCCAACACAAGTTGTGTTTTTTTTCCCCAACACATCAATAATTAAATGTGAGACAATATAGTGGGCACTACTGGGCATTATAGCAGAATCTGAAGATGGAGAGAGTGCAAACTGAGACTTCACACTGTCCTCCTCTGTTTCAATCTAGGGTGCACTGTTTCCATTACCTGATCCCCCTGACAAAGCAAGGAAATTATGCCATTGTGGCTAATGTTGAGAGCATGGACTATGACCCACTGGTGGTCAAACTCAACAAGGACATCTCAGCCATAGAAGAGGCCATGGGGGCCGCCCTGCAGCAGCACAAGTTTCAGTACATCTTTGAAGGTCTGCACAAACCTGGGGTGAAGTATAAACAGCTGTCTGAGGAATACAGTTCACCCTCCTTTTTTAAAGCAGAGTTCATTTTTGTCACATGAATTCACATAGCTTGTTGGGTATCTGAGTCCAAAAATGTTGCTGACAGGAGACTCTTGATGGTTCCCTGAGTCCCCCTCCTCTTTCTGTTCATTTCTGCTTATCTTTTTTATGCCCATCTGTCTATGCTGCTCTGGCATATTGATATTGTTTCTCTTTTTCTCTCCCACCAGGTTTGGGTCATCTGATCTCCTGTATTCTAATCAACGGAGCCCAGTACTTTAAGAGGATCAGCGAGTCTGGTATTAAAAAGATGTGCAGGAACATCTTTGTCCTCCAGCAGAACCTCACCAACATCACCATGTCCAGGGAGGCGGACCTTGACTTTGCCAGGTCAGAGTCTTTTTCACATTTCCATAGTGTTAGCCAGAAGTGCAGCTCACCTAGAGCGGTTTTCTTGGCTAAACAAATTAACATATGTTATTTTATTAAGTCATTTTTTGCACTCGGATATCTCTGTGAAGAAGATGGAGGGAGTGAAAAAGAGAGAGGGAGAGAGCAGGAGAATGGAAAGAGAGAAGACGACAGAAACAAAAGGGTGATTCATAGTATTCATATGCATTTTTCTCCTCTTTCTGAAGCATGTGTCCTTGACAGGAGATAGTTATGTGAGTGGAAGGGTGATGGAAAAGTTTTAGAAAGAAGGGAGTGCTTGGGGGGAGAAAATGGAGATGCTAAGGGAAAGGAACTTATAGAAAAAGGCATCTTTCACAAGAAAAGGCATAGAAGGGACTTGGAGAAGGACATGTGGATAGAAGATGGCATACAGTGCTCTAAGAGATGGAGGATGAAATGAGGAGAGTATGAGATGAAAAATAACATTTCAGTAGCTTGACTGAAGGAAGCGGACCATTTGTTTTGTTAGAAAAATTAATCTACAGGTTTAATTGTTCTAAAAACAACATTTTGGCCATGATACACTTCTTTTCTCATCTGATAAAGGTTTTGATTGTGACGACACCATGAAGGCCAACCTTTAGGTTTCCTAACCTTCTTGGTCTTTATACATCTAGTATTTGGTGTTATACACTGTGTTTACCCATGTCTGCCATGCTGTCATGTTGTCTTGTTGAGTTAATTAGTTTTTTTCACAGCTATTGGCTTCTTTATGAGTGTGTCATTAAGATATGTGCAGTGTTTGCACATTGCTATTGTTTGTAATGTGCTGGAAGTGCAAGCCCAGTTTCTGTCCAGGAAAAGAAATAGTAGTACACTGAAATGACCTGAACTGTACTGGATGTGGAGGACCATTGATTAGTGTGTTATTTCTACCCTCTGTCAACTTTGATTACAGAGAAACGCCAGTGATGGCTTTTCTGTCTTTTTCTCTCTCTCCCACTCTCTCTAATTACGAGGTGTGGGTGGTGTGGAGGTGTTGATTGGGAATTGCAGAGCACAGTGTTTACACATTCATGGTTTTTTGGATTGACCGGCCTCTTGCAAACACGCATCCACAAACTCACACACACACACAAAGTCACATACACACGTGTAGTATTTATCCCTTGCTCTCAACTAAGCCAGTCAGAATTTACATGTCACCACATTTATTTAGGACAGAAATATCTAAAAGTATGCTATGTATTTATGGGAGTAAGGTATAAAGATGCATTTGCAACTCACTGAAAACCTGCCTGTAATATGATTTGGCTTCCTTTTCAAATTACATAGTCTGATATACAGTAATTTCTTACACTGTTTGGCATAAATCAGGGATGCAAACTTTTGGCAAAATTTGCTGTCTTCATGTACACACTTGTCACCATTGGGTATCGTGCAGATCTGATTCTGCAATAAAAAGTTTTCAGGAGGAGGAAGTGGGTAGTGCTGGTTTGCCAACAGCCATTAAAATCTGAAAAAGAAGAGTGGGTGTAAACGCATTTTCAGTGCTGACATACAGTACATCAACTTCACTGTGTGTTAACAGTCAACGTGACATTACATCAGAGAAATTATTTGGCCGAGTGACTGCAGCATTCTTGTTAGCAAAACTCAGTGTCGAAATCATTCAGGTAGCACCTTCCTGTTGTTAGCCGGTGCTGAGCGTTACTGTTTCTGGTTAAAAAAAAACAGCAGGATTGTACCAGCTGTCGCTAACTAACGTTAATTGCGTGACTTCAATTGATGACAGGCCAGAATTAAACTTGCTGCTTGTGTGCTTTCTGCAAGCAAGTGGGAAAGCAGACTTGAGCACAACAAAACAGGTGGAGTGAGGAAGTGCTCCCAGCAGGAAGCCTGCTTTGACCACAGGGTGCAGATGCTTGCTTGTGTACCCATGCGCTTTTATTTTCTTATGTGTACGTGTGTGTTCGCGCACATATAAGTGTACATAAGGCTGTGTGTATGTGTTTGGCTATTTATTCTTTTTTGTGTGCTTGTATGGGAAAGAGAGAGACAAAAAGACCTGGACAAGGGCATAGTAATATACATTGATTTGAGTTCAAATTAAAGGGGGGCCCAGTAACCAGCAATGCAGAACTCATGAAGACACACACAGTCTCACCCCTCTCTTTCCCATAGATTGTGAAGAGGGATGGTGAAACTGTGCCACCTATGGCTGAATCCATGTTTATGTAGTGTAATACTGTGAGTACCTGCAGTGTGTCAGTTGTTAATGGTGCATGGAGTATACTCAAATATGTATGTGTGTGTTTGTCTTTATATACTTGTGCAAACCAACCCCTGACGGAACACCTTTCTTGTGTGGAC